GATTTAATTTCATAGAAATATTGGAATAGTTGTAGGAATTTGTTCAAAAAAATTTTCTCCTCTTCTTAGTTTACTCTGTTTAATCTGTTCTACAACATCCATTCATCTAAATCCACCTTATATTTTTTCATTGATCTTACTTCTTTCAGATTCGTATACAACCTAATGGTGTGCTCTAAAAACCACGACAACAAACCACTCAAGGAATTCATCCTTGTCTCCCCTGCTCCCGTGGACACAGCTGCAAAATTATCAAATATACTGATTGTGTTATCTAACAAAGAAAAGGAGAGAGCAAAAGATTTGATAGCAGCTGGAAAATTCTGCGAAGGAATGGCCACCGAATTGCTAGCTCTGGCTGCTGGGGCAGATTCTGCTGGCAAAATCCTCACTGCGACTGATAGAAGAAATATTGAGTTTCTGGATGTTTTGATAGAAAATGAACAGAAGGAAGTAATCGCGCACACAGTTGTTCAACGATATCTCCAGGTAAAGAATAGGTAAATTGTTTCCAATACCAGTGAGAAAAGGTATAACACAAAAAAAAAATTTTTGTTTTTTTCGAGTCAACACAAATTGTTTATGAGTCTACAATTCAATGATATTGTGAGCAATCTAATTCGGAGTAAATGTATCAATTGGAACTTTCTTGAAGTCACCTTCATTAATATCATAGAAAAATTTATCAATTTCATTTTTGCACTTGTAATCAAATCTTATCATTGCTTTTTCATTCTGAGATATTTTTTGAAATCATTCGAGTTTGACAAAACTTTCTTCATTCCTAGACAATAAATTTTCAAATCAAGTTGAATACATCCGGACTGAATTACCGGATTCACTTTCCAGTATTTCTTCAAATGAACAATATTCTAAGCACATAATCTACTTGGAAAAAGACAAATTGGTCCTTCATCAAAATAAGAAATTTGAATTATAGTCTGTCGGCCGGTTGTGTAAGCAAAGTCCGTTTTTGTTTGATGACAAATAGAGCTAGAATCTCTATCATAGAATATATTCCATGCTGTTCCCAAACACCAGACTCTAAATATTCTTCTCGACGCACGTTTCGCCAACCAAGTGGGCGTTTTCAAAAGATAAAGTAACTGGTTTCTCAAATCAAATCAAATTTCATTAAATCCGTTTTCCTATTATACAATGGATTGGACGTTTCTAGTGAGGTGTAAAACCCACACACTTACTACAAAAAAAGTTACTTTTAAAGTACTAGTTTACAGGTTAGGTTGACAAAACAGAGTATATACACATACATACATGGACACACTACACTGGTGAGGATATAACCCTAATATTACTCAATGACACATAAAAATAAGTATACAAGACATGTTGATATAAATATAAAAAATCATAAAGCACAATAAACCTTATGTTAACTTTGCTAGAAAGAAAGTGATTGATTCGTTAAAATTTTCTTCAACCTACTTTTGAAAAGTCCGTACCTACGTGTTACTATTTTTTATATTATCAGGAAGCCTATTGAAGTAAGACGCTCCAATCATCAGATTGGAGCGTTCGATTTTTTTTGCAACAAGTCGTTTTTTTGCCTTATGTTGTGGTTGTGAATATCAGAAATTTTTGGCAGTTTATTTCGGTTTCGGTAGATATGGCTCAGTAATTTATATAAGTAAATAGAAGTGACAGTTAGAATTTTTTGATTTTTGTATACATCGCGACATGAGGTTTGATAGGGTAGGTCAAAAATTAATCGCAATATTCTTTTTTGTATTACAAACACCCTTTGATTATCACGCCCTTGCCCCCATATTATGATACTATAGGAAATCGCAGAGTAAGCATATGATTAATAGACACTCAATAAACTATCCCTATCTAGCATAGTTTTCAAAACAGTCAATAGATAGAAACACTGGTTGATTTTTTTACAGACACTACTACTAATTTGTGCCTCCCAGGATAGATTACAGTCGAATATGATTCCGAGAAATTTTGCGGACTTCGATGTACTGATTAAAGTGTTATTTAATAATATTAAGCAATGTGATGGTAATTTTTGAGCTGTATGGTATTCAATGCAAACCGTTTTCGAAACATTCAACATTAATCTATTACAATGGTACAATAGCACAATCTTTGAATTGGTTTAGTGTTCTGGTAAGTTTTTCTGAAAGTGCGAGTTTTGAGTGATCTGATATTATTGTGCATGTGTCGTCTGCATACATGAGACGACACATGCCTCAGTTAGATATTTAAGAAGGTCGTTAATAAATATGAGAAAAATGAATGGACCAAGGACACTGCCTTGAGGGGTTCCAAGATCCATATCAAATTCATTTGAAAAAACATCGTCAATTTCCACTATAATCTTTCTCAATTTTCGTAGAAAGAGAAAAACCAATGTTTTGAGTTTACTCAGCCACACTCGATTCAGTGGAGAACCATTTCTGAAACCGTGTTGATTGTTTGTTATTAAATTGAACGAACTCAGATACGTTTCCATTCTTCGAGCAACCACTTTTTCAGTTATATTAGAGAAAAAACTGAGTAAAGCAATTGGTCGGTAGTTTTCAACATTAATAGAATCACCCTTTTTTTACAATAAAATAACAGAGGCTATTTTCAGACTTGAAGGAAACTCACCTTGCATAGTCGACAAATTTATAGTATGAGCGAGTTTTGGAGATATGATATCTTTGCATTGTTTTACTACTGATGCAGATATTTCATCCGAACCTGTAGATTTTTTGTTTGGTAATGATTCAATAATTTCATTAACGTCATTGACATTCACAGGTCTAAAAAACATAGTTTGTATTA